CCCCCCCCCCACAAATACCATTAGCCATATCCATATAGATAGAAAAATGAAAGAAGAATAAAAGCCAATTCCTATATACTCAATAGCTATAAAAGGCAACCCGGCAAAGAGAGTAAAAATGAACAAACCTCCACCAGGGATGTGCATATCGAAGATCCCATCCAGCAGAAGAGTGATATCCGTCCAAGCAGCTCAGCACGTTCTTTGTTCTGTAATCGATCCAAAATCACTCATATTGTCTCAAGGAAGCCTATTGTAGAAGATTGGACTGAGTGAAAAGGCAAAATATACCTTGTAGATTCCAGTTCTACCAAGCCAGACGATTTGATCCAGGAACAAGAACGTTGACAGCAACGCATTTTTGGACTGATAACCAGAATCCAAAACTTCAGACCAATTTGTAAAAGGAAATATAAGCACACAATGTTCATATATGCTTACAGGGACATGAAGGTATTACCTTTCCCAGCAGAACAAGCGGGAGTGGAGTTCCTTTTGGAACTGGACTAATAAGAGCATGAAGATCATTGACAAACTGAAACATTAACAACAGCATGGAGCACGAAAAATTTAGAAGCAAAGCAAGAGTACTGCATGTTGTTTGATTTCCAGTTTCACCACCACATTCTAAGATCCAGAAACATGTAAAATGCTGAAACCCATTAAATGATTAACTTTGATTCAACAACAGAAAGCATAAATTCTATATTTCATCGCATATTATTGCCTCATGTGGAAACACAGTTTTTCTAACAACCACTTTGGCCTCCATATGTTATCTTAGAAACAGAATAGAAACCCCGTCTGGACAGAACAACCAGATCTAAATGTTAACCAAGTTTATACAATCAGAACTGACCTTAAAAAGACGGAAAACTTTCCTCGCCAAGCTCGTGGACTTGTCAACGTTTTGGGCGGTGCCCGGCTGTCCATTACTTAAGAACTTCGAACCATATTGTATCGCTCTACATATCTTGTCTCTTGCCTCCGCCTTATTCAGATACAGAACTATCAGACCAAGCTCGGCTCTGGTGGCCTCCAAGGTACTCATCCTTTATTCACGTGTAACCTATCAAATCAAACTTGTTGAAAATAATTCTGAAACATACAATAACCTTGAACAAAAGGATAAGGCAGATGAGAAATAGATAAAGGAAGTCACAAGGAGTCATGAGGAAAAATCTTCCAGCATGGAGGTAAACCACCACATAAAGAAAAAAGAAATCATAACAAGAGCTTCTATCATTCAAAATCCCTTAAGAATACGATACCCAATTTGATTGCTGGTGAAGGACTAAACTCCTAACACATTAAGGGCGCAGAGAGGCAAATCATATCGAAACAAGGAAATACATCTCGAAAACAATGAAGCAGGAGAAATTTGAGATCCACTTAACAGAACTAAACTCTGTTAGAATGTGAATGGAAGCACACGGGACGAACATACAACATGAGATAAGCGGAAACATTTCTCACTCATGTAACTTAAAAGAGAATGACACTGCATGCAAAAATCATGGGGGGCATCAAAATGAACTCTGTTTTGCAAAAATAGATTCAATGAAATGATGAAATTTCTGCAAACACGACAGTTTTGAAATACCCTCTAAGAAGGACAGAGATGAGTGAGTTGTGTGTTATTCATCTCTACAAGAAAGAATCACTACGAGCAGATTGGGGGCTCATACCCACGAGAGCAGTTCAATGAACCGGTAAGTTTACAGCTTCACGGTAAGAAAATTGTTCCAACTCTAGAAGGACAAATCAACAATGAGCGCCAAAGGAACCGCCAATTTTTCAGCCCATCATCAGTACGCAATTTGAAACAACTAGACGAGGACTCGCAAATTCAAACTCCAATATTGAAGCCAGGAATTCGCCCAAAATCTAATCTTCTTCCCGGATACGATGATCAGTGTGTCCGTCCGGAGATCAAAGATTCATACATTCCCGGAAAAACGTTCAGATTCTAATCATTTTCCGACCAATCAAACGGCATATTAACAACGTTAATCGTCAATTAAAAAACCCTAAAATGTCTGCAAAAAAAGGTCGATCCTATAGAAATACTGAAGCGAAGGATTAATCACCGGGGGGTGATCGATCGGCAAAATCAGATCATAAAAACCAGCAAAGGGAACCAGAGAATTTCGGGTCAAAGTCGATACCTTTCTCCAAAAACCCACGAGCTTTCTGCGAGTTGGGAAACCAGATTGGAAAAAGGGAACGAAATTAAGTCTTAAATAGAGGATACGACGATAGACTGTGTGGTAAGGCGCGTACGGTCTTAACAGAACCTCTAAATATAACCCCAATGCGTCACGATGAGCACGTACGTATTCTCTGACTGTTTTGGGCTCAGCTCGTCAAAAAATATTTCGTCCTAATGGGCTCTAATGGGCTTCTTACCCAATAAAGCCCCAAAGCCCAAGGCCCAACACATTTAAATAATTATTTAATTTTATCCTAACAAAATACACTTGCAATACATCACAGAAAACTCGTACACGCGCAGAACCGAAAAGATGGCTTCAGTTTATTTTTTGCTTTTTTACCGTTCTTCGTCCACGACGGTAAAACAGGATTCACCGCTGGAACAAGCTCCTCAGCCTCCCTCGCTCCAGCTTCTCCAGAAGCTTCTTGGCGCCGGACACTTCCATCTCTGACAACTTCTTCAGATATCCAATCGCTCCGTACGAAATCATCACCTTCCTGCTCTTTTCGCTCCCCGACAGGCCCAGAAGCCCTGCAGTTGCGTACTTCTTCGCCGTGTTTCCCGGGTTCGGATCAAGCAACATCACCAGATTTGGCACGCTCTTGTCGTCTTTTCTCACTTCCCGGCGGCTCCGATCCTCCGTCACCAGCCCAGCGATCGCCTGCGCCGCCGCTTCTCTACAGCCGTTGGATTTCGATTCCAGAAGCTTCACGAGCAGTGAAACGCACCCGGATTCTCCCACATGCCTCTTCGATTCAGGCGATGCTGCGAATCGGCACAGCGCTGATGATGCCGCTTGCTGTGCGCCAGGGGATCCCGATTTGAGCACGTGGGCTAATCTCGGAACCAAATTCACGGCGACCCATGTCTCTGAACTCACGTAAGGGACAAGATTTCTCAGCGCCGCGACCGCTGGTTCCTGCGGCAGTGGTCCGTCGAGATAAGCCAAGAGGCTCGTGACGCCGCCTTCTGTGACAACAGCTTTGCAGATAGTCTCGTTCGCTGCAGTGAGGTTCTGCAGACACTCTGCCATGTGTTCTCGCGATCCTAATAAAATCCCGTGATTCAGAAGATCGATGGAAACTTTCACCGTTCCTTCCTCTGCAAGAAACTGTCTGAGGTCAGGAACCGCCGAGATGTTCTTCAGAGCTGCCGCGGCTGCGGCTTGAGACACTGAGTCACCGGTTCTGCAGAGATCGATCAGCGGTAGGATCCCACCGTGACCCGCAATTTCTCGGGCGGTTTCAGGCGCCATTGACAGTTTCTGAAGCGAAATGGCGGCCTTTTCTCTGGTCACAAAACTTCCCGACTCCGCAAGCCTCACGAGAGGAGGCAATACACCTTCTGAGACAAGCCACTCATCACAGTGTCCTGATTCAGCTAATAAACAGATAAGATCCACAGCTTTTTCCCTGATTCGGGTTGAATTGGCCGTTAACAGTTGGACTAAGGCCGCAATGTTGGCCCGCCCGATCAAGGGCATTAACATTTTTTCATCCTCTAGCACGACCTGGAGGAGACTTTCAAGCGCCTTGTGCTTTGATTCCAAGTGACCAATCTGAAGTCGTGCCAGAAGTTCCTTTAAACTGGTTTTCTTTGTCGTTTCCGATGAACTGGAGATGGATAGAGGTAAAGTGGCTTCACCCAGCACGCCAGTCTTGATCAAAACTGAGCAGTCTCTGAGATTTAGATCCAGTTTTCCTAATAGCGAGTCCAGATCGCTCTGCATATGTAGCTTCCCTTCATACTTGTCTGTCAAACATAACTCGGCCAGTTCTATCACTTCATTCAGCGTCTTGGCTACCGACTGCAACTGCTCACTGCAGAGCCTGTTCTTGGAGAAGCAAGGGTGGCTCGACAGGTCTGACAAACAAGTTGGGATCTGATCAATCTTTGAGCTTATCGTCTTCCATCTCCCTTGGAAATTCTTGACAGATTTTGCCTTGGCCAGGGCCACCGGTATGAGAGATTGGGCAAGTGACAGCCATTCTTCTGCTGATTGTTTGTCCATCATAGCCTGGCGGTTTATACCTTCTTCTGTCGTGGTTCCAAACTCAAGTTGTTTCCAGCACCGCATGGAGACGAAGAACAATTCACAAGTTCCCTCCCTCTTATTCGGATTTTCCTTCTATTTCGTCCCAGAATTGGCACTGATGAACTGCAGATGACAAGGGAGAAGAAAATCAAGTGTTTACCATGTTTGTATACCCAGGTTCTGCTACCAGAAGATGAAGAAAAATCAGTCTTTTATATTTCTTAAATGACTAAGCTGCTGACCAATCACACCTTGCAAACACAGACAAATACAGACTTTATACCCCCCTCTATACGTGCTTCAGCCTCGATGATTGGTCAACTGTGCTTCAAGTTTGGAAAGTAAAAACTTCAGCCCGATCTGAGCTGTTGAGTGACAATCTGGACTCAACTGCCATTCACATAAAATAGAAAGATCAAAACTTTATGAAACACGAGAGGAGAAGAATAAAGAGACAAGAAAGATCTGATACTGAGCAGTGGCTGAAGCTTAAGAAGGCGAGTTCTGAACCAAAATAGCATAGACAATATC